GGAAGAGCCATCGACGATGCCCACAGAGGAGGACCGACCACTATCAATGCTATTGCACACTTATCATTCCTTTCATCGCAATGTGGTTGTGGAAGGACATCACCCAAAGCCCATCATGAGCCGTATCTCATTGTGTTATTGTTCTCGTAATATGAGGGTTTCCGAAAATAGGGGACCCGAATATATTACCCTAAATAGTAGGATCCTTATTATAAGGACCCATCAAGAAGGTACCCTAATTTTCGGAAACTCCCATGTCTGCTTCGGAACCTTTTTATAGGGTTTTACAGTAGAAGCCCAAAAGTTGGAAACCCAATAGCCTCAATGCTTCAGAGCAATTTATAGGGAATAACAGCTCTATTTGGCCTTAATCCAGTTTCCAACCTTGTGGGGTCCACTAATTTGAAACGCTGCGCGTCGTGCGCCTCGGCCCGGCTGTACGCGCATGCGGCGAGTGGCTACTATCTGCAGCAAGCTCTTGTAGGAAAAAAGTAACAGTTGGAATCGCACTTATAGTAAAAGCAATGTTCATAGCAACACGAAGCAGGATGATTGTGAGTAGTATAAGTAGTGGTAGTATCAGTACGAATTTTGGTGTCGTCATTCCGAAACACTAGATACCAAGACTCTCGCAAGCGGCGGGATGCCTTAAGTATGGGCCGTTGAGGCTGTGAATTTCGTGGGCGTCTTGGATTAGGGAAGCATCACAGCCTTTTCAACCACGTTAGAATTCGCCTCGGCCCCGGCCGAAGCGGTCAGAGGTTCCTATTCGGGTTCCCTCTATTCCCCACCTCTTCATCCCCCTCCCCAGTGACCCCACACCACAAATCGGGGCCACTGCCCCCCCCCCCCCCCTAAAAATGGAAACGTGTCACTGAGCTCCAAGGTGGCGGTAATTCTCGCCCCCTCCTCCGCTCGCTGACAGGTGCGAGCTTTCTGAAGTTTTCGACGACACGGGACTGCAATGTAGCATCTTTATGTGTTGGGGCTCGCCTGTAAGGCTGCAGTACCAAGCGAGTTTCCCTAACCCCAGCCTGAAAACACCAAAATTCGTACTGATACTACCACTACTAATACTACTCACAATCATCCTGCTTCGTGTTGCTATGAACATTACTTTTACTATAAGTGCGATTCCAACTGTTACTTTTTTCCTACAAGAGCTTGCTGCAGATAGTAGCCACTCGCCGCATGCGCGTACAGCCGGGCCGAGGCGGACGACGCGCGGCGTTTCAATTTATTCAGGCCCCTATATCATAGAGCCCTTATAGTATCCCTTCTAGTAACCCTTATAGACCCCTAAACCCTTAAACCCTAAACCCCTAAACCCTAAACCCTAAACCCCTAAACCCTAAACCCCTAAACCCTAAACCCTAAACCCTAAACCGTAGCCATTTTGGCTCAAGAGCCCGCGGCTGCCCGCCGCCTGCTGCCTTGCGTACTGCGTATGGCAACATGCGACGCGCAGCCATGTGTTAAAGAGGTGGTCATAGTGCCGAACGCTAACGTGTTGAAACGAATACTGATTGACGAAGCCAATTCTGACTTGAAGTTTGCAAGTGGCAGCGAATGGCGCACTTCTGGAATTGCGCAAGATGGGTCGAGCTTCTCACAAAGACTTTTGGCATGGTGCTGACCACCCATTGGTGCTCGCTCTGATGTCAGATGATTTAGACGATGCCAGCAAGCCAATGCTACTGCTGGGAGAAGCCCTGGTCCTGGCTGACAGGCTGCTCATGGCCGTCAAGGCTGGCGATGTGCAATCGCCGGTGCAGCTGTACAAACGACTGTGCGGTACACGGATTTGCGTGCCAGCTGGCGGCCCGCTTTCAGATGAAGCCGCTGATGAGTTGGCCAACGATGCCACCGAACGGCTGCATGACACTGGAGCAGCGGATGAATTCTGGGCAGCGGCCGCGGACCTGGTAGAAGAGTTGCCTGATCAAGAATTGGGTGATGTCGCATGGCAGATACCTAGAGAACATCATACCACTACCGTGTCAACGATCAAGCTGAACGGCACCTGGCGTCGGCGCATACATACCGTGTACGGCGGCAAGGAGCTGACAATCTCCTTCCCAACCAATTACATAGATGTGTGGCTGATGCATGATGGCGTCTATGCAGTAATGCGTTTCAACGTGAATTGCATTGGCGCACCGCTGCAACGCTCCGGCCTTGATCTCTTGCCCATGGAAGTTGATGGGCGATTGATCCAGATCATGGAGCAAATACTGTGGCAAAGCCATGGTTCTCCAAGTTATCACCATGACGTGATGATCACCAACGTTCTGCACCCGATAGGGGACTTGGTGCAAAACGTGGTTGGCACGGGCAGACTTCGCATGCACGTGCCGCCAAAAGAATCATTGGCTCACACGCTAACCCCGATGGTCATCACTCGCAAGGATGCCTCTAGCAACCAGAATTCCACTTTGGCTACGCAGCTGACGCGCCATGGGCAGCAAAACCTGGAACGCTTCATCAAAGCTGCCCCGCCAGCCACCAAGCTTACAATGCGCCGGCTGCAGATTCGCGCTGCTACCGATGCTGCGGAGAGCGTGAGGGCGTTCGTGAAGCAGCTGCCTGTGGAAGCATCAGAGGTCGCCGAAAAAGAGGCCCAAGCATTCCTGCGCAGAGCACTTAAGGTGTTCCCTCAACTTCGCAAGTCAACCACGAATTATACGGATGAAGGTCGTATGAGAGTAATTGAAGAGTTTGGTTGGGACCACCTTTTGTCGGGACATTCCGTTTCTGGGAGACTATGCTATGAGGATTTGGCATTGGCCGGCATATTCCCAAGCGTGGACAAAGCCCAGCAGAAATTAAAGCCAACTATTCCACTCCGCAAGTTGGTGAGCAAGTTCATGCACGAAGTCAAGGTAGTGCTGCGTGCCAAGATGAACCAACCTGTACAGCCGTTCCTACAACGGCTGCGATGTTCATTCAGCCGTTCATTCGCGTCACAACAGAGATACTGGTGCATGGGTTGGAGGAAAACTTCGTGCTCGCGATTTTGCAGGGCGGAGCCAGCCGAGATGCACAATTCTCAACCCACTTGGGGACGAATTGGTTGAAGCTCCTCCCCTTCCACACGACACGGCTCTGACTGCACCAACGATGCTGGGGGTGGAGTTGGCTTGGATTGCGGACCAGCTGGGGGAGATGCAGTTGAGTGTTTGGTTGCTGCTTTCTCAACTTCCTCGACTACCTCGTACTGGTGTGGCGAGCAACCTTGGTGACATATTGATTGGGGCGACTTCTACCACGACTACGTCTACCATGGTAGTGGTGCACTGGATGCTCCCACTGACAACCAGTACGACCAGCTCTTTGCCGGGGCATGATCTGGACGAGTTGGCAGCCACCCTTCCCTTGGCTGAGCTCCTTACCCAACCCAATGACACGAGCCTCCTGATGCAGCTTGCCACTGGGGCGAGCCAACAAGTGGAAGTCCACCCAACGGTGCCAGACACAGCTGGGATGACTCGGTTGATGCTATGTTGGCCAACATCCTTGAGATGACCCTCAGGGAGATGCTCTCTAAGCTGCAGCTGGGTCATCCTCCAGTAGTGCGTTGGGCCATCTACCACCACTTGCGTTTGATCCAGGCTATCACTACCAGTCTTCAAATCTATAGGGGCGAGATCCTTCGTCGCATCCTTGTGCCTCCGGGGGAACCGCGCACTATGCACTATGCCGCCGAGGACTTCGAGTGAGATCAAGCAGTGACGGAATGGGCCGCGCAATTTCAATCCGACGTCTACCAAGTCGTGCAGGCACTACTTGCAGAGCACGACCAAGGGGTGAGACGTGGTGGAGAAGTCACCGCGGGCAAGACAGATGGAACAGTGGATGAGGGACAGGAGCATGGCCTTGGGGTGGAGGCCTTCAGCGCCACCAACGCCACAAGGAGAACCGTCACCGGCGACACCTATTCAACCGGCCTTGTTCATCCCGGGGGCGCCGATCTACAATGCGACGGCCCCGCGAACGCCGTTATCCATGTTGGGTGGTGAACCTCTTGGACGTCCCAGGTCTCCGACGACACCACCCACACAGTCTCGCTCCGAGATAGTGGATTCTCTTGAGCCCAGGCCCTCGCGTGGGCCGCCTTGGACCATTTTTTGAAAATAACATGCTTTACAATTTTGCATTTTCTTCGTATGCCCATTTTCTTGATTTCACTGAGCGACATGCATTTCCTTCCGTCTGCAGTGCGCGAATCACTCTCTTGATGATTGCAGTGCGAATGCTCAAGCTGAGCAAAAATTTTGTCCCGCCCACCCGCCCGGGGTGAATGCTAGCAGGGCCCCTCGCTGAGGGCTGCAACTCCCTGCTGTAGTTAGGTATAGTCTTGTGCCGAAGGGCATGCACCGTGGATACGAGATGTGCCGACCGGCACTCGCAGATCGTTTACTCCCGTAGCCATTTTGGCTCAAGTGCGAATGCTCAAGCTGAGCAAAAATTTTGTCGGGCTCCCTAAAGTCCCCGTAAAGTGCTGTCTAAGAGGTTCCGGGTGCTAAATCCAAGGCTTCGTAGCTCCTCGCGGCCTGGGGGGGCGTTGCATGGTGTCAAGGACGGATCTTGAGGAGTTCAGTCGGTACATTCAGTGCTCGCTGCTCAGCTTGGTGCGTGGGGCTTCGACTGAAGCCCGCAAGGACGTCGATAGTGCTAGAGCTGACTTCATTGATGCTTTGCAGTCCCTCCGGGACGACACTCTTGAAGCCTTGACCTCCCTGCACGAGCGTGCAGACACCCTGCTTGAAAATCAACATAGGCTGCAGGCCCAGCTTAATATCTTGCAGAGTCGCCTCACTTTCCTTGAAGGACAGGCGGATTGCACGGACGGTCCAGATTTTCTTCACACCTTAGACTAGGCATGGAGCCGAGCGGTGCCGCCGCACCTTCCCAAGCGAAGGCTGCAAATGATCAAGGTGGGGTTGGTCAGTTTTCTTTCCCGCCTTCGCCGCCTCTAGGGGTCAGCAGCCTCGCAGGCGATGTGCCCTTACCTCAGGTTTTCCCAGGCTTTGGCGAATCTTCTGAAGGCAGCTTTAGTCGTGTCAGCTTTGGCAGTGAGTGTGTTGAGAACGACCTGCACTGCTCCGCTTGAGTTCCCAGAAGACTGGGAAGACGATGCACCCGAAATTGCCACAGCTCGGACGCCTATGGACTTGGAGTCTGTGGAGCGGTCAAACAGGGAAGTGGCAGGTTTGATGCGAGACATTTTCGGAAGCGACGATTCTCACGTCGAGAATGTGGAATCGAGGACAGCTTCGGCCTCGGCTGCGCCCTGTGAGCAGGCGGCTCCTTCGATCCCCGATCTTGACCAGGCTATGTCGTTTGCACATGCAGATGCCTCTGCAGATGGGATTAGCTTAGCAGCTTCAGGAGAGTTTGTGTCGACCGCTGGTGTCGCTGATGATGCGCTGGGTTCCTTTGTAGGAGGGCTCGTCAAGCAAGATGTTGCTAGATTCGGCAGACTCGACGATGGTCTTAAGCTTCCGTGGGAGAGTGAGTTCTCCAAGCTGCTTTTCGATCCAGATTGCATGTGGGACCCGTTGCAAGGCCGAAAGCAGGACTCGATTTTTCCGCCCATCACGCGTAATGCCCAGGCTGCCCATCGACCTCCAGCAGGACCCAAGGAGGCTCCTTCAGGTTCGATTTTCGCTTGGGCCATTGCGTTGGGTGCTGCAGCTCGCGATCCCGCCGCAGAGCGAGAGCGAAAGAGGGAGCAAGGGATCGGAATGTGGAGTAGGCTTGCGCTGAGGTATTCCGAGTGCTGCTCCCTTTATGAGTGTGTCTCTCAAGGGTTGAGTGGCAGAGAAGCGGGCTATGAGGATGTTTTGGTGGCTGTCTCGGCCGCTGTGGGAGTGAAGTCACCGCACGCCATTCACAAGCGTGCTGCATCCTTTTGGACCTTTGTTCGGTGGTTGGATGTCCACGAGCCCTTGGCCCCAAGCAGGCTGCATGAGGTGCAGGTGTGGAATTTTGTGCAGTTCCTCAAGGAAACTTCTGCGCCGGCCTCCAAGGCCGCTTCGGTCCTGAGCGCTTTCAGGTTCGCTCACTTCGTGCTGGGGTTCCGGTTGTCGGGAATCGTTGATTCAAAGAGGATTGCTGGTGCCACTGAACAGCAGCTTGTCAATGTGCGCAAGCTTCGCCAGGCGAAAGATCTTACAGTCTCTCAGGTTCTTGAGCTGCACGCGAGGTTGGAGTCGGGAGCTTTGCATTGCTTTGACCGCGCACTCCTTGCTTCTCTGCTGATTAGGCTGTACGCTAGGGCTCGCCCGAGCGATTTCCTGTTTGTTGAATCGCTCGAGCCCGCTGCTAGTGTTCGAAGTCTCCCAGCATAAAGGGGCCAGGAAGGTGCAGCTTAAGACCAAGCTCTTGCCGATCTTGGTTCCCATGATAGGGGTCCATGGAAAGTGTTGGATTGACGAAGCCTTGACCGCTTTTCGGAACGCGGGGAGAAGCCTGACTTCGGTTCGGGGTCCGCTGACCTTAGCACCTGCCGACGAGTCAGGGGTCGTCTCCTCGAGGAGGTCCATCGCTTCAGCTGAAGTGGGCAAGATGTTGAGAGCCTTCTTGGGTTTGCCTGAGGAGGTCACCGATCCTTCGGCCCCCAGGGTCACTGCATACTCGCTGCGAGGCACTTGCTTGGGCTGGGAGGTAAGTTCGATTCCACGACGACGAGGACCTGAAAAGCATCTTGGGGAGGCATGCTTCCTCAGTCAAGACAACGCAAGCCATCTACAGCAGAGAGCTGTCGGCGGCGCCGGTGAGGCGGCTTCAGGACATGATTAGGGAGGTTGCAGCGGGGAACTTCTTCCCTGATAACAGTCGCTCGAGTTACTTCCCGAGGCGAGCCGCTAGTGATGGGGCGTTCCCGTCCAAAGGAGCTGAGAAGCCCGACCCTGTCAAAGTTGAGGTGGTCAGCAGCGACGATTCTGAGGCAGGGAACTCTGTTTCTTCAGACAATGAGTGCAGCGACTCTTCCCAGTCATCGCAGTCCTCCTCCTCGTCATCTGCGAGCGAGGCGGTTCAGCCTGCTGTTCGCAGGTGGAAGCGAGCTAAAGTCGAGGTGCCAGACCAGGTGTGGTATGTGAACACTTCGAGTGGGGTCTTGCATCTGCTTGCTAGCCCCGATGATGTTCCGATGCTGCTCGCATGTGGGCGACCCGTAAGTGGGAACTATCGTGAAGCGACGAGGGCCGAAGTCAGTCGTGGCAAAGAGTGTCGGACCTGCCGGCGCAATGTATAATGGCCCGCGCAAAGCGCGCTTTTGGGCGAAACGATGGATGTATCAGTATCATGTGCTAGAAAGAAAGCAGGGAGCGAGGTGCTCGTAGCGAAGTGCTTTGTGAGTGTGTCGAGGTTTACACATGACATGTGTGATTCTTAGCTACTTGCTTGATTGCGCTTGAGTGTGTTCGTCTTGAGACTGTGGGCTCAACATGACGTCTCTTGTAGCGAGTACGCATCACTTTAAGTCGCGATGTACCGAGGTGGGCCTCAGTCGCGAAAGCCTCAGGGCGCTCGCGGACCATGGGATCGATACTTTGAGCAAGCTGGCTTACTCTTGCGGTCAACCGGGCACGCCTTTGCCTCAATCTGAGTTTGATGACTTCATTTCCACAGTAATGCCGGCGGCACTCTTGGGTGAGAAAGGAAGCGTGAAGCGACTTCTTTTCGAGAGTCAGGCACTCTTGCTTAATGACCTCAGGGAACAGGTGACCCAGCCCGATAAGTGGTCTACACGTGACGTCCCGACAGTTGAGCGTCAGAAGAGGATGGAAGCAGTGCGTGCCAGCATACCGGGTGTTGTGCTTGAGGGGTCATTGGAGCCCTCCCACGGGCTCTTGAATGCAGCTTGTCGAATGGAAAGAGAGGGGCAGCTTCGCTACATAGCCCCCGAGCAGTGTGGCACTCGCATGTATGAGATTCAGAATGTCAAGGCCCAGAGTAAAGTCCTGTCTTTGGAAGAGGGCAAGTTGGCGATTTCTGAGGAGAAAGGGTTGCCCGAAGTTGCCTGCGGGTCAGCTTTGTTATTGCAGGAGGCTCTGAAGCGCCGAGGTGTGGCTCTCCAGTTCGCCGGTGTCGCCAGCTATGTGGCTCATGAACGTTATGTGCTCAAACTCTTTGGGCATATGGGGCGAGAGCCCCCGCCAGGCTATGCCAGGACCAGTGTGCACCAACTCCTTACGGCAGACAGGCAGGTTTGGACGCGAATGATCGAAAACGAGATCAGTCCGAAAAGGAGTGCAGATGGGACGTACCCTGTCGATCGGGCTTTGCTCCCCACACTTGAGACATTCGACGTCACTGTAGCTCTCCTTCCGCGAAAGTCAGAGGAAAGCAAGAAGAGGGTCGCCGCGCCACATAAGCCCGGGGTTGAGAGGGATCCCAAAATCGCGAAGCCCCCCAAGGGCAAAGGGAAGGGCAAGAAGGGCACTTGGCAGCCCAGTGTGCCAGAGGCCATCCGTAAGCTGGGTGGAGTTGCCGAGACTCCCGATAAGAAGCGCATTTGTTTCTCCAGGAATCTGCCATGCGGCTGCACTCAGGATCCGTGCCCCAAAGGCTTGCATGTCTGTGCGTTGTGCTTTGCGCCTGACCATGGTCTTCAGGAGTGTCCGAAGAGAAAGAAGTGACCGCCGAAAGGTGTTCCGGAAGGTTTTGTACCGACCGATGACAGTGGGGCCGCTGTTACATCAGTCACATCGACCTCAGCTGGAGGTCAGGATTCACCGATGCCAGATTCCATTCAGCTTGATTCGCCGGGGACAATATCCGTTGAGCCGGTGCACCCAGCTGATCAGTTTTGTTCACAGCTTCGGGAAGGAAAGCTTGCCGATGTTTTGCAATTGATCACCCTGCTTGAGAGTGAGACCCCAGCGAGGGGTCAAGAGGCACCAAACACTTTCTCCTGGACTTCAGGAGCATATGCCAAAGGACCGCTCAAAGGCGTCAGGAAACACACCTCTGTTTTCCCAGCTTGTGCGCGCTTGTTGTGTAAGCTTGTGCTGCAAACTTTTCCAGATGCCGACTTCACTGCTGTTGCGATTTATAAAAACCTTCAGACTGCCTTGCATGTCGATGTAAATAACGGGATGGGGTCGCAAAACTACTTGATTCCGATCACCGCATTCCAAGGAGGAGAGGTCTGGCAAAAAGGGCCTGGCAACGACATCGTGCAGGATGAGCTGGGGTTTAGCCTCTCTGGGTCCTTAGTTCGGGTTGCCGATGGGCCGTGTACCCTAAACCCCCGTGAAACCCACCGCACCATGCCTTGGACTGGCGACCGGGTGCTGCTTGTCGCCTTCAAGCCTAATCACGCTGCAAGCTTGTCTCCGGAGTACCGCCGACGCCTGCTGGAAGCAGGGTTTCCAGAAAGTGCATTCGATTCAGCGTCGTGCTCTCAGGGCCGCGACTCTACCCGCCCGCGGGGTGTGGTCCCAGCCCACTTGGATGAACTGCCTTCTAAGCCCAGCGATAATTCTGCTTGCATCCCCGATGCCGTCCCTGATCCTGTAACCTGGTGCGACCCCTTAGTCATTGAATTGTTTTCGGGGTCCGGTCGGGTGACTGCCTGTCTCAAACAGTTGGGACTATCAGCCGTCGGGGTAGATGCTGACAAGCGCAGGGCCACCTCAACCTGCCTACAGGCCGATCTGGCCACGCCCACAGGACAGGAGTTGTGCATGGAGTGGCTATCTTCGCCTAGATTAGCCGGCCTCTTTGTGACTCCGCCTGCTCACTTGACCGGTGCTATGGGTCAGTTCTTGGCAGCAGCCTTGCTACATGTCCTCGGCCGAGGGGCGGTCTGCGTTTTGGCCCAGCCGGGCGATGGGACGTTTTGGACATCTGACTGCTGGAGCAAGGTCTCCTCCAATTTTACTTTTGTGTCCTGCCACGAATGCGCATATGAGGGCAACCACTTGAGTACAACCATTTTCGCTGTCACCGATCGTTCATTTTCGAAGCTTGCTAGGTTTTGCCCGGGCAGCCCGTGCCGACAGGAGCGTATGTCCGAATGCAAATTGCATGGCGCCTACCCCGTGCGTCTGGCCATGCAGGTGGCTTGCTGTTTTGCTCAGCACTTCGTGCGAAAGGGCTGGCGATCGCCCCCACAATCTTTTGATGCTTTCGATCCTCGCTTGGAAGTTCCTATGTCCCGTGCTTTGGCTGGTGCCCAGCCTCGTGCCAGCAAGATACCGCCACTAGTTAGTGAGCATCAGCGGGTCATAGTCTTGCAGCACCCTCCGGGGCTCGTGCTTCCCTGTCAGCCAATGCAACGACTCAGCAAGCCGTGGCCCGTGCCGCCACAGTGTGGTGCCACCCTGGCACACATCCCGGCAAAAGCTCAGCTGCTCCGGCACGTGCCAATAGTCCAAGATGGGGGGAAAGAACTGGTGAAAGTTGATTCCTGCGAAATGGCTTGGGGGTTACCCTGGGAGCCTGAGGAGTTCATGCGGAAGGCGTCCGAATCATGTCACCCAAGGTCGATGGGCTCTGCGCTCCCGGCCCCCTTGAATGATACTCTTGAATCCTTGGACAAGTTGGGAGACGCCGAAGTCTCCGCTTTGAGGGCTAGGGTAATCAAGGAGTGGTTGCACTTGGCGACTTCGTTGTCATCCAATGAAGCGGAGCTGAAGGCCAGCATGCACCCTGATGTTCGTGAAATTACAGCATCCAAACGCATCCTTTTGTGGGAAGCTTTGCTTAAGAAATACGATTATCCAGACCTGTGTGTGTCGAGCCTTCTCAAGGAAGGCGTCCCGTTAGTGGGGCATGCGCCAATTTCGGGAGTCTTTAAACCAAAGTTCAAGCCCATGCAAGCCACGCCGAAGCAGGTAAGGGAGGATTCAAAAGTTTTTCGGGAAAAGGCTAAAAATTCCCTTAAGGCCCAGGATCCCGCCTTGGCAGCCGAAGTTTGCACCAAGACTGAGAAGGAGCGAGAAGCAGGATGGATCGTTGGTCCCATGTGCGAGTCCAGCTTGTGCGATGGGATCTTGGTTAGCCGTCGGTTTGGAATCCAGCAAGGTCAGAAGGTCAGGTGCATTGACAATTTGACTTCGTCGGGGGTGAACCTCGCGGTGCAGGCCTATGAGGCTCCGCAACCTCAATCTACTGATGTGGTTGCATCCACGTGTCTTCGGCTGCTGAAATCCATCAAAAAGAGGGCAGGCAAAGTCTTGTTCAAAATCTTAGGCAAGGCGTTCGATCTTACTGCAGCTTACCGGCAGATGCCAGTCCACCCAGACAGGGCCTGGGCAGCGTACATCTGCTTCGTGCATCCAGACACGAATGAGCGGGTGTACTTTAGGATGAAAGCCATGCCCTTCGGATCGGCAATGGCAGTCTACGCTTTCCTTAGGAAGAGTCATTCCTTGTGGTTCCTAGGTGCAAAGGCATTGCTCTTGCCTTGGTCGTCGTTCTTCGACGATTTCGTTACTTTTGCGACGACAGGGTGCTCTGCGTCGGCAGAGGCGTCAGTGACGGCAATGTTCAAACTCCTAGGTTGGGCGTTTGCCGAGTCAGGTGAAAAATCGAATGACTTTGCTGAGCGTTTCCAGGCGCTTGGTATCATGGTCGATTTGCGTGCATGCCTTGATGGCACCATAAGCTTCAAGAACACTGCAAAGCGGGTTTCCGAGATCAAGGCGTTCGTGGGCAAGGTGCTTGAGTCAGGTAGGTTGCCGCATCACGAGGCACTCAGGCTCAGAGGTAGGTGCCAGTTTGCCGACTCGCAAATCTTCGGCCGTACTGGAAAGAAGTGTTTGGGGTTGATCACCGCGCATGCTTACGGCTTTGACGAGGTCATCAGTCGTGAACTCAGGATCTCTCTCGAGAGGTTCTTGCTTCGTCTCGAGGACGGGGCCCCGCGTCTGATCAAGATCCTTGAGGGAGGATCGTGGCATGTGTACACAGATGCTTCGTATGAACCAGGGGCAGGAAATAGTTTCTGCGGCCTAGGTGGGGTTTTAGTGGATCCTAATGGGTTACCTCGAGAATTCTTTTCATTCGTTTTGAGCGAAGCACAGAAAAATTTTCTTGGTGAGCAGAATTCTGCCCAGATCATATTCCAGGCGGAGATGCTAGCAATGGCTGTGGCGCTAGACGTTTGGTTGGAGGACTTGACGGGGCACACGGCAATCTTCTTTGTGGATAATAACGGTGTGCGTGATGCAGCTATCTCTGCAAATGCCCGAGCATCAGTCGCGAGGAGACTTCTTGAGGCGTTTCTTCAGAAAGAGCATAGCTCAGCGATCATTCCTTGGTTCGCCAGGGTACCATCCTCTTCGAACCCGGCGGATGAACCGTCCCGGGTGGAGTGCGACAGCTTGAACTTGTTGGGGGTGCAACTCCTCAGGTCGAATGTCTCTCGGAAAGTGGACAACTGCTTGAAGGACGTTCAGGGTCTTAAGTAATAGGACTAAGTTGGGGGTGAATGCTAGCAGGGCCCCTCGCTGAGGGCTGCAACTCCCTGCTGTAGTTAGGTATAGTCTTGTGCCGAAGGGCATGCACCGTGGATACGAGATGTGCCGACCGGCACTCGCAGATCGGCACTCGCAGATCGTTTACTCCCAAAGTCACCGAAGGAAAAAGTCCGACGTTCATCAGTGCATCAGTGTGCCGTTTCGCTTAACCTTGCAGCTCAGTTCGGTGTTCCTAAACCTTTCAGCTTACTGTGCGACTCAAGTTTTGCGACCTTTAACTTTTGCAGCTGTTTGGTCCAAGTCGTTCGGCTCAAGAGAACCACACAGTCTCGCTCCGAGATAGTGGATTCTCTTGAGCCCGGACGAAGGCCCTCGCGTGGGCCGCCTTGGACCATTTTTGAAAATAACATGCTTTACAATTTTGCATTTTCATCGTATGCCCATTTTCTTGATTTCACTGAGCGACATGCATTTCCTTCCGTCTGCAGTGCGCGAATCACTCTCTTGATGATTGCAATGCGAATGCTCAAGCTGAGCAAAAATTTTGTCCCGCCCACCCGCCCGGGGTGAATGCTAGCAGGGCCCCTCGCTGAGGGCTGCAACTCCCTGCTGTAGTTAGGTATAGTCTTGTGCCGAAGGGCATGCACCGTGGATACGAGATGTGCCGACCGGCACTCGCAGATCGGCACTCGCAGATCGTTTACTCCCAAAGTCACCGAAGGAAAAAGTCCGACGTTCATCAGTGCATCAGTGTGCCGTTTCGCTTAACCTTGCAGCTCAGTTCGGTGTTCCTAAACCTTTCAGCTTACTGTGCGACTCAAGTTTTGCGACCTTTAACTTTTGCAGCTGTTTGGTCCAAGTCGTTCGGCTCAAGAGAAACGAGGGGCTCATTCCGGGGGTGCCTGTCTTTGACCCGCTTGCCCCAACAGCGCCTCTTCAACCTGTGGCCGAAACCAGTGTGGGATACGTCTCTGCCTCCTACATCGACGACTTCTTGCAGCGGAACGAGGATGACGGGCTGACGACTTCTACGACTTCTACCACCACACTCCTCGCTTGGGGTGACGGGAGCCTCATTTGCCAACTCTGCTGCGTGATGTTTGAGCACGACCACCACGACCACGCCTACGGAAGGCCATACAACTGCGGGTGAACCTGTGGGTGTTGGGCAGATGTTGAATGAGAGGGAGCAACTCCTTGCGCAACGTATTGCAGAACTTGTCCTACGTGAGCTCCTGTTTGTCCTTCGACGCCAAGACCATGCGACGGTTCCCAGGACATGGCCAAGAGCTGAGCCAAAAAGTAGGGTGTTGCCACCATGGAGGCATGGAAGGCCTCTCCCATCCATGTCACCAGACCTTCGAGGGGGTGAACGTGGATGGACCTTTGAAGATACTTGGCAAGCAATTCGTCGTGCCCGTGGCGGTCAAAGCATGGTTGACTACGATCGCCTGTTTGGCAGGATGACAGGTCGACCCATGACGTGGGGGAGAAGTGCACCGGGCCCGGACACTACCTGTACGCCACCACAGTCCGTGTTGGAGCCTCGGGAGACGAACCAGACGGAGTTCTCGGACACGGATGACTACGACGAGGGGGACTTTGTCGAAGTGACCCTGCCGGATGTGCACGAGCTGCCTGAGTTCGTCAACGAGACTGCCTTTCCGGACACAGGGATGGTTGTGCCTGATGAGGGTGATGGTGATCCCACTCGTGAATATTCTTCCTGGCGTGAGCTCTAGCTGAAGACATCCGGTTCCTTGTGGAGTGTGAGGGGCTCTTGCTGCTCTATCAGCACATCCCTGTCGAGCCTCTGTACAGGATTCGGGTGGGCGATGTTTACTAGAGTCTGAATCTTGATCGAGTCTCTGTTTCACCTCTACAGGCCCTTGGAGGGCAGGCTGCTGCAGGAGAAAGGCCGCCATTGTAGGTTAAAAAAAAACCTTAAACCCCTAAACCCCTAAACCCTAAACCCTTTTTATAGGGTTTTAAGTGTCAGCTTACCCAGCCGCGGGCTGGCTCAGGGCTTTGCAGCTACAGAGGATGTCTCTATTTGGGTGGTGGTCAAAATTAGGGTCCCTTTTTGGGTCCCCATTGTAGCACGGCACCTTTAATATTTAGGGTGCCCAAACAGGGGCCATAACTTTGACAACCACCTATATGGGAGTTGCCGAAAATTAGGGGTACCTTATTTGGGGGTCCCTATAATAACCCTATAATTAATAAGGATCCCATACTTTGGGGTACTGTAAAAGGGCCCTTTTTTTTCGGAAATTCCCATATAGAGGTAGAACCAATTACATAAACATCACATCTCATCATTTAACCCAGCCTTGAGTAATAGGTACATTCTTCCACTTCAAGTTCTACCGGAACAGATGCGATGCTGAGTCCCTATGCCCGAAACTCAACCGTAAACCTACCAGCATCCGCACCACGTAGTTTTTTTGTCTTTTCCGGAGTGTGTTTTCCCCCACCCTTCGACCCTAAACCCTAAGACCATATGGCCTTATGGGACTTTGACCAACTAGGAGTGGTAGATGTCCGACAGAAAAGGCACGAAACCCTGGGTTTAAGCCGTCAAAACCCTGTACGAGCCTTGAACCCTCTAAGCCCACTCAGCACTACAAGCTTTATAAGCCATAAACCCTAAACACAAAAAGCCCTAGACCACCGGAGGCTGCACCTGCGACCGCACCCGCAGCGACGGAGGCGAGTAGGGCTTTTGGATGCTAGACATGGTTAGACATTAGAGTGTATACGGGGTTTAGGGTTAAGGCCTTGGTGCTTTGGGGGTGTTCGGAGTTGTACGGCTTGGCGGAATGTCGTTTCATCAGAGTTTCGAAATGTGGTCTCGGTGTGGCTTTGTAACACCATTGGGCTTTTTTGGGCTGGCTCAGGGTTCCGCCAACAGCCTCAGAAATCCTGGTTCTTAGACCCCTAGGCCCCTAGACTCTAGACCCTAAACCTGATCAAACCCCAAACCCTAAAGCGCCAGTCCCTGCAACTCATTCTCCCATTCTCTACTCTATAAAAAGATGGTTGTCAAAATTATGGGTCCCTAATATAGTACGGCACCTAATATTTAGGACTGCCCATGTAAATCCTGGCCCCTGTGCGCTTTTCGGGCAGTTAGACTGGGTCCCCCAGGCTCATTCTGGTCAGGCTCGGTAGGATTTGGGGTTTTGGGTTAAGGGGTTGAGGGTTTAGGGCTTAGAGGCTGAGGGTTTAGGGTATAGGATTGTGCAAGGGCTTAGGGGGTTTAGGGTATAGGGTTTAGGTGGTTTAGGGGGTTGAGGGGGTTTAGGGTATAGGGTTTGGGGCTAAGATTAGGTTTAGTGTTCAGGCTTTATTTAGGATTCGCCAGGGGGCAAAGCGGCGGGGTTCGGAGACAGAAGCACGAATCTCAAGGCAGCAGTCGTTTTATGGGTTGCAGGTCGCAAGAGGACACAAGTTTAAGCAACTTGGCACGTCACCTCCATTTATAAGAACTTCTTCACTTCAATTACTTAAACCCTTCAGCATGCTATTAATCTCATTATACTTAGAACTTACCGGGGACTGTTCAACTGTCCAAATCAATTGCTGCACTGGCACACCTCGGCTCTGCCTCTAAAGGCTGTTCGGGACAAAGAGCCATCGATGTGTACGAGACGCAATCTGCAGACATCTGGACGACCATGTTTGCGGAAGAATCCTCTGCTTGCCGAGACGCACTATTGTGGTATCCGCTGGGGAAGGTGGGCCTTTCAAGTCCTAGCAGTCGGGACTGTCCCCTCTCATCAAAGCGAGCGAAGTATACTTTCGTGGTCACGCCAGAGATGAAGGACTGGGCAGATCGCTATCAGGCGAACCACTCGAGTTGCTCGTTCAATACGCCCCCTCTAAACAGGAGGAGCCTTTCAAATTTAGGGTCTAAGTGTGTAGGTTTGAGGCATAGGGGGTTGCTTCTTGTACATTCAATGTCCCTCGACCACGATACTATGCTATCAATATACCGTAAACGACGAGACTTATCGTGTTACCATGTGCTGTATCATAATAAGACAGAGGCCGCCGTGGGTGAGGCAGCGCCGACAGACAGGGTACAGCCTGGCGACGCGACTCGTCGGACCAGATGGTCGGAATATAGGGGCTTAAATAATTACCAATTGTATTGTGGGTATTCCTTATTATAAATGGGCCCCCAAAAGGGATTCTAGTTATGCAGGCCCATAGCACATGAACTTTCCTTAATAGATAGAATGGGGTTCGGGCCCAAATTAGTGGGTAATTATATTCTACAATGAATAGGAATTTCTGATGATAAGTAAGCAGGCTTCTATACCAGGGGTTTAGCGTTTCCGGTTTCGGACTTCGCTGCATCTGTCCCGCCGTTTTGGAGCGGCAGGCCCGTCTTTCTTTATGTGTTGTAGCAAACGTGAAACCCTACACCCCACACGCTAAGCCCTGGACGCCAAGCCTAAACATCAAAACCTAAAACCTACACAGAGCCTCCAAAGCCCCATAATTCAGGAATCTACCAAGAAACAGATTAAACTAGGGAACAAAGGTATATTCCTTAGTTAAGGGGTTTTGGAGGCTCTGGGTACACCCCGAGGCCCTCAACATCAAAGCCTGAAACCTAGGATAGAGGTCTTGATAATCACCTATACTCTTTTGGTGGTTCCTTGCTACAATTATACAATATGGGCCCCAAAACCCTGTTCTAATTATTAAGGCCCCTATAGCACACCCCTAAACCCTAAACCTGAGACTCAGAGACCGAGGTGCTGGGCAGCGAATCACTTCCGCTGACAGAAGAGGTACTTTCGGGGTCTTCGTAGTTAGAACAAGGTTCCTTTAAAGGGGTCCTTTAGAGGGGGTCCATTAAGGTTGCTAGAAGTCTACAAGGGTACTATAGTATAGGGGTCTTCGTGAATGTCAATAAGGTTCCTTTTTAGGGGTCTATAAGGGCTGCTATGAGGGATCTGTAAGGGTACTATAGTATA